ACTGATGACGGCACTAAAACATAAATTTACGGACAAGATATATCGATGTGTCTTTTCGTTTCGGAGAAAATAGCAAATGTAATTTAAATAAATGATTAAGAATTACAAATTTTTTTATTCCCAAAACTAATATGTACCAGCCATCACTGGTAAAACCTAGCATATACTAAGTTCTGATATTAAAAAAATGTCTTTTTCAATATTTACCGTGCCCTTGAGGTAAATCCTAAGATTTACCTAGTGAATGGTGGTAAAAGTTCGAAATAAAAGAACTGTTCGGACTTTTACCATTGATAGTAAATCTTAGGTTTTACCGGAAAATCTTAGGATGTACCACAGTTCGGGATTTTACAGTAACATATATATATATATATGACAATGACCACGTCTCAAGTTATATATATATATATATATGAGAAGTAGTCATTGCCAAAGCCAACGACTAGTTGGGTACAAAATACAATTACTTGTTAATTGGGAAATTGGCAAAACTTTTAGGCTTAATTTGACTCTTTTGACGATAAAATCAAGCTTTCGACATTCTCTTTGGAGCCATCATCAGGATTCTGAAAACACAATTGTGATGCTAGCAAAGAAGACAGATTTAAAATGTCAGACAACTTACTCGTCAGTGAGGTTGCAGCCACAAGGTGTTTCAGAAAGAACGTAGAGAAGATGACTTGTGTTCAGTAACAGTATAAAAACAAAAGGACGGGGACATTGGGCTTGTTAAAAAACGACAGATACCTTCGTTAAAAGTTAAGAAAAAATAAAAATTATATCAATACACCCGAACAAGCTAAAAATATTACACGTGGGGAGACATTTTGTTGAAAAAATCGGAATGCAGTCCCTAACCTTCTACTAACGCTACACGTGGAGAGGGAGAAGGCACGGAACGGTAAAGCATCGACAGAAGACAAGTGATTGACGCGACGGAACGTGGAAATGTACACCTCCCTGTCCAACTTTGGGTATGAAGTATACCAGGGACGCTCGGTAAATCTCCACCCAAAATTACTAAAATGCTGGAGTAACTTGTTTTGGAAAAGTGTGTGGGGTTCATATGAGTGCAAGAATGTGTGATATTGATACAACCTTGAAAAGATGGGTTATGTGAGTTTATATTAAAAATGTGAGTGAGAAAATGTATTCTAATTTTGTGAAGATGTTGGATCAATTTGGACATGTAGCCGTTCTAGGTTTTTGGCAATTCAACAGGTAGGAATAAATGATACTGAGCTGCTTAACATCAGCCTTTTTATTCATGCAATGATCTGTCATGAAAATGTGGGACATTTCTAAAAATAAACTTTTTGGGAGTCTTTTTTCTTTATCAAGAACCTCAATACTTCCATAATTCGTAGAGTGACCTGTGTTGTTAGTATGAGACGCCAAAGCACATCTTTCTGGATGTAATCTGGCATCACTTTTGTGTGACGTTATCCTGCCTTTCAGCGACCTAGAAGTTTGGCCTATATAAACTAAATTGCAGTTGTTGCAATTAATACGATAGACAGGATTGGTTGAAGCAAGCAACTGAACCTTATCTTTCATTGTGGACAACAAACTGTTGACTGTGAGAACTGATTTACAAGCAAAACGACAATTAAAGGGATTATACAGCCTGATCAATTTTGGTGTTAGTTCTTTGATGTATGGCAAGACAACATAGTTAACTCTGGAAATAGGAGCAACCACTGTAGTGCTGTTGTTCTCATTAGTTGAAGAATTAATGGGTATCTGGTTTGATTGACCCGTGTTGTCATTGTCACTATTGTTATTAGTGATTGGCAAAATATTCGGAGGAGAGCTGAACAAGATTCTGTTAACCAAATACTTAGGATAGCCATTGTTGCTAAATAGGACTGAAAGCTTCCTTAAATTGGAAAGATGGAAAGTACTGTCAGAGATTTTTATAACCCTGTTTTTCATTTGTTTCACCAGGTTTATTTTTATTTTAAGTTCATGGTAAGACCTGAAGTTCAGGAAACTTCCGGAAGAAATTGGTTTCCTGTACCAGTCTACCAGTAATAAATTGTCATTGAATCCAAAAAGGGAACAGATTGATTGTCATCTTCTTTTTCGATGGTGAACTGGATGTAAGGATCATAACTGTTAAAAACCTCAACAATATCATCTACCCTATCATAAGGAAGACAAACGATTATATCGTCCACATACTTTTTAATGAAAATTAGATTGTATGGAAATACTTGAATAACAACATCAAGCAGGTCATCCATTACATATTCCGCCAAAATTGGAGATAAAACAGAGCCCATGGAACAGCCATGTGTTTGTGAAAACACTTTGTTATTAAAGGTAAAGTAATTGTTCTGGAAAAGGTACTCTACGATATTGATGAAAGAATCCAGAGTTAGGTTGCTGTGTTGGCAAATTAGATCCCAATGTTTGTTGATGGATCTGATGCAAGCTTCTAAATACACATTGCTGAACAGTGAAACTACATCTAAACTCGCAATAACATGATCAGGGGGTATTTGAAATCTATTAAATTGTTGACAAACATCAAAAGAGTCTTTCATAAAGTATTCTCCTTTGATGTGAGCTGACTTTAGAGTATCTGCAATTAATGAAGATAAAGCTAGTGTGGCTGATTCAACAGAAGCTACAATCGGTCTTACTGGCAGTACCGGTTTGTGTATTTTGGGAAGAGCATACAACTTTGGAGAGACAGAATTATAAGTGATTAAGGACTTCTTTTGGTCTTGGTTGATTTGACCAGTGCTGAGTAGCTTGTTAACAATGTCATTGCAACCTTTCTCTAATTTAGATGTAGGGTCTTTATTGATAACCTTGTAAGAGGGATCATTATCAATCAAATTATTACATAGGTCAAAATGTTACATCACATCAGAGTCTCCCTGTAGACATTTGTCAGAAAATTTCTGACAAAAGAGCTGCAATTAAGCAAGCGAAGAGGTCTTGTCACCCAGATGACATTCACAGAGCAATGAATCTTGTTCATGAAGTGAGAAATGCTCTTCATGAATTTCGTAATGAGCAATGGAGCGACTTTCTGTCGGGGATGCTTGACTCAAGTATTCCTCTCTGGAAAGTTGCAGTCGCTCAGAAACGGAAAGCGAGAACAACTCTCGCACATCCATGGACCTAGGGCATAGTCTGTAGGACAGAGGAAAAGGTCGAGGTTTTGGCTGATGCAAGTTCTCTCCCAACTATGACCTTGATAATGACCTCGACGAGGAGCAACATATTGTAAGATCCTTCAGAAGATTCCTCAACTGAAGAGCTGCATGGCACATCAGCGGAATCTCCCTGAGACTCCGCAATGCACACCACCAGAGCTCCAAGGTCATTTTAAAGACCTCAAGGTGCGTAAAGCACCCGGAGAGGCTCGAATCACTAATAAGGCGCAGAAGCTACTTTCGCGGAAGTCGTTAACTTATCTCGTGAAAATATTCAATGCCATGCTAAGGACCCAGCACTTCCCAACGGCGTGGAATACCGCTGATGTCATATTGCTTCCAAAGAAGGTGGGTTTGATATTCCCCCAGGATTACCGCCCCATTAGTCTACTGTCAGCTCCTTCTAAGCTCGCTGAAAAGGTGATTCTACGTCACCTTGAAAATTTCTCGGCAGACCACAATATGATTCCTGACGTGCAATTTGGCTTTCGGTCTGGGCATAGTACGGAGCTACAGAACATAAGGCTTGTTAAACGAGTAAGCAGGGCGTTAACCCGTAACGAAAGTACTGCCATCTTGCTTCTGGATGTCTCAAAGGCATTTGACAAGGTGTGGCACAAGGGACTTCTCTACAAATTGATCCATAAGGGCTACCCCTTCTGGCTCCTAAAACTTTTGAAATCCTTCCTCGAGGGTAGGAAATTTCAGATCAAAATTAATAACGTTCTGTCGACAACATGGCCCATCAAAGCCGGTGCCCCTCAGGGTTCGGTTCTTGGACCAGTCCTGTATTCACTTTTTATTCATGACGTCCCTTGCTCCAGCAACCTATCTCTATGCTGATGACATTGCCCTGGTGGCCCAGTCGTGCTTTGGGATCTAGTTCACCACAGGCTGCAAACTGCAGTGAACGAGGTATTGGAATGGGTGAATCGGTGGATGATCAAAATTAATCATTCGAAAACGCAGGCAATCCATTGTACTAAAAAACGTAGCGGCGCCCCGTCTGAGGTTTCAGTGAATGGAGCTCGGGTACCATGGGAAAGCTCTGCTAAGTATCTCGGTGACACTCGCAAGCAAACAAGGCCGCGACTCGCACTGTGAACAAAATTAAATCGTGCGACTTTAGGTCCAACCAAAATTATAATTTTTCTTCAACAACCAATCCCAAAATTAATTTTAGGATCTATTTAAAATTGCCGAATACTAACTAGCAATGCCAAGGCACCCCTCAAATTGATGCACTTCTTTTTTCTTTGCTCTCCCTCCTTCCTTCCTTCCTTTCTTCTTCCCTTTTTTCTCTCTGACTTTGTTTGGTATCTGGGCAACTAGACCTGTCAGATCTACTGACTTACAAGACTTCAACAAAGAGCAAAGGTCCCACGGACCGCTCTGACAGACAATGACGAATAGAATCACATCAGAGCCAAGCATTGAAAGCTGAAGCATCATGACGTTTAGGCAACACGTACAGCTACGGAACGAGTATACAATTAAGTGTATGGCAGCTAATGACAACTTGTAGAAAAACCTACATAATGTCACAAAAAACCTATATAATGTAAAAAACCGATATTTCACTTTTCAGGATACGTAAAACTCTGTGGGTTATTAAGTAAAAAACTCATATAATATCAAAAAATCTGTAAAATGTGTGCTAGATAGCCGCTAGTGCGCCTCTAGTTCATTGCTACTACAACTGAGAATGACGTGGATGTCAGCTGATTCAAATGTGACATTTTATAGGAAAACCTACTTTATACTTTATAATGCAAAAAAACTACATGACCCCATAAATTGATATAATGTAATATTTTAAATTATGAAGTACGGGTAAGGGCATAACTATATTATATGACTATCAGGAAGAAATTTATGCCTAGAATGTAGAGCTTATCAGAGGTTACAGAAAACAGCTGTCGTTTATTAACTAGACGAGCTGGAACTTCGATCAAAATATCACAATAACAATAAAACATTCATAATTCTGATTTTTCTGAATCACTCTTTGCAAAAACATACTTCTGCTCATAGACTGATCCATTTATACCAGTATAAATCGGCTGATAGTTATAGATGAGCGTTCTTTTTTCTAAATCATGATCTGGAAACCTGTTTGCATTCTTCCTACATTCCTCCACGAAGAAATTCGCGAAGTATTGAGATATCTTCACAGCCTCGACACTATGTGGTATTCCAATGCCTGCCTTGAACTCAAACAAGTTTTTCTCAGGATGAAACTGCGTCCCGTAAAATGGGTATCTGGTATTTTCCATGGATGATATGAATTCAATACCATTAATGTCTTCATCGGTTGATGTTATTTTCCATTCTGGTAGTAATTTGTGGCGCCTGAAGGTTTTTTCTGTCAAGCAGCATTGGTGGAAGTTATACGTTACATTTTTTGTTTTCAGAATGCTTATAATTTCATCTGGAGCCTTTGAAAACATCTTACTCTTTTCATAATCTAAAACAAAGCATAAGTAGCAGTTTTCTGAAAACTATTTGAAGTAGGTTTACTACCAGTTGTTAACAAGAAAACAGTTTTACACATTTTGTATGTGCTTTTATATACACTAGCTTTTTACACCGGGCTTTTACCCACGGCACGTGTAGGTGGCGCCACTAATAAAGTAACCAAATATTTCAAGCATGCAGGTTCGCGGTCAGTTTACAAATGCCTTAAAACATATAAAACGTAATCGGAAGTTTATCGCATTACTTGAAAACAACGTCTTATGTTAGTAACAATTTCGCGGGTGACAGTTAGATGTAAAATAAAACATCTATATCACTTGACTGTCACAGGTTGAGTGGGGCCATACGCGACCGCGTTGTTGCCAGCTTGACGCTGACAGTGGAGATTTTGCTACTTGCCGCGACAGTCCAATATTGTCAAATTTCATTGCAAAATAGACTGTGACTTCACGGATAAAACCTTCCTCGGGTATCAATAATTAGCAAGTGTACACATTTTTACGACTCTCAGAATTGTGGTACGTATGTGATGCTGGCATACATTCATATTTACCTGGTATATTGGCATATCAGAAACGGTAAGAGGTATGAAGTCGGATAAATGAAAATAAATCCGCTGTTATCTACAGAGTGATTTATAACCACAACAACCACAATCATGCTTTCTTTAAATAGAATTTTAGCAAATTTTCGTTGAGCTTCATATGCCATAGTTTCACGCCATATAATCTTTTTCATAGATTTTCTTTTTGTATGTGTCATACAGGGTATTTGTAAACTCAGAATGGTAAAATGTACTTTAACTCAAAAAGATCCTATTCGTGCTCAATGTCATTTTCGTACATCCGTTTGTTAGCCTCATTCTTAATATACTAAGTGACATATAAATCCGAACACCCAGTTTAATTTTAATAAAATTTTGTATGAGTACTTAATGAAGCATAATAAGTAAATGATAAAAATTTCAAAATGATTGCACTGCTTTAAAGCCCTTTGACCTTTAATAATGTGTGGATGCACCCTGATGTGCTACGCATTCTCCAACGCGCCTAGGCATGCTTCTGATCAGGTGGTCAATGTCCTCCTGTGGTATCTCATTCCAGTCAACCACCAACTCCCCTCGAAGTGCTTCTAGAGTCTGAGGAGGACGTTGCAAATTGAGCAATCTCCTACCCATCATATCCCACACGTGCTCAATTGGGGATAAGTCGGGAGATCTTGGTGGCCATGGTAACAATGTGACATCATTATGTTGAAAGAAGTCTATTGTGACTCTTGCAACATGAGGTCGGGCATTATCTTGTTGGAAAGTTGGATCTGCCAGGGTGTCAAGATAGGGTAAAAGATGGGGTTTTAGAACTTCGTGGATATAACGCTGCGCGTTCATGTTACCTCTAATGAAGATTAAAGGTGACCTGGAACCATAAGCTATAGCACCCAAAACCATAACTCCAACAGTGTGATGAACATGTCTTTCAACAAAAAACTGTGGATTCCTCCTTTCACCACGTCGCCTTCTAACCCTGGCACGACCATCGTGCATGCCTAAACAAAATCGAGACTCGTCACAAAGACAATACTGTTCCATTCCTGATCCCAGAGTGACTGTTGTTTGCACCACTCAAGGCGATTACGTCGGTGTTCTCGAGTTAAAGGGAGGACCCAGTGTGGCCGGTATGAAAACAAGCCAAAACTTCTCATTCGTCGGTAAACACTTCGCATGCCAATATGTCTTCCGTGTTCTGCAAACCATTCATTTGCAATGGACCTGGTAGTGGAGAAACGGTCCCTTAAGGCCAATAATCTTAGGCGGCGATCTTCACGGTCTGTTGTTCTACGGCGGCGTCCAGTGCCCCTTGCTCTTTGCGTACGGCCTTCTCGAAGCCATGCCTGACAACACCTAACCACAGTGTCTACACTTCTTTGCACTCTAACTGCAATTGCCCGAAAAGAAAGTCCAGCTTCCCGAAGTACCACTATACGGCCCCTATCAAACTCACTAAGCTGATGAAATCGTACAGGTCTCTGTACTCTAGGCATCGTAACCGATCGTAAAGGATGTCAAGAACCAAAATCCGCCAACGTTGATTCTTTACTGCGGCTGAAATATTCATTTTTAGAGCGTTAGTGAATTAAAAAAAAGCAGTATAAAAACCGGAATGTCCAACTGATAAGGCTGACAATTTTTTCACTTGTTATTTACAGTAAGATAAATACATTCACCAACTTTTATTAAAATAAAACCATTTAAACTGGGTGTTCGGATTTATATGTCACTTAGTATATACAATTTTTGGAGAGCTTTATCATTTAATTTTTTAGTTATTTGCGGTTAGCTATCTAACTGACTGAATTCTTTGAGAGAGAAACGCTACTTCTCAATAGGATGTCCCGTTCAATAGTGGGCATTTCTCTGGAAAAATAAATTCTTAGTCGGATGCTCCTTACCCGCAGCAAGCTTTAGAGGAACTGCAACATTTTTTAGCTCGCAGTCGGTTCTGATGTCATCCCCTTTATCCGCATACGGTAACACTTCGTGGCCTAAACAAACTCCAATGATGGGATAGTAAGTTCCTTTTTCATTCACGGCTTTTGCCAAATTGTACAATTTTCTGGCCGCTTCGCCGTATCCTCCTCTTTCTTTGAAGTAGGCCGCTCCTCCAGGAAAGAGAACCCTGAAAAATGTACGATGAAAGAATAACTTACTAACAATCTAATCAACAATATATTGATGAAATTAGAATATGCCGTGGATACAGGTACATCCAATGCGTATATTCACAAGTTACAAATTTTTATCTTTTTCACTTTTCACGCCTACGGGCGGGGAAGTACGGTAATCGCGAAAACTTTTGAAAATGAGGTATTACGTGTTTTGGATATTATATGACACGTACATCATGAAAGACCATATCACTCATTTCATTCGGTCTGTCTGTCTGATACTCTGTCTGTCGGTCTGTCGCTAATCCTATAACCGCCTATACCTTGAGAAGAATCGCTTGGATTCTTACACATTATTACTACTATACTAATGACTGAAAACCTATATAGTCTTTGAAAATCCTGATGATTTTTGAAAAAAATGGATGTTTTTTGGATATGATGACATGTACATCACGAAAGACCATGTCACTCATTTCATTCGGTCTGTGTGTCTGATAGTCTATCTGTCGTCTGGCGCTAATCCTATAACCGCCTATAAGTTGAGAAGAATCGCTTGGATTGCGATGAAATTCTTACACATTGTTACTACTATACCGAAGACGAAAAACCTTTATAGTCTTGGAAAATCCTGACCACTTTTGAAAAAAAAAATATAGGTAAAGAAACATAGTGGTGGGGTTGTAAGAAACTTGGAAGCGTTTGTATCAATTTTTTGACGTTAGGACATTTATGCGCTCCCAACCTTGGTAGTTCTTCGCACCTATTATACAAATATACGTAAATAAAATAGGCGACGAACCACTTCAATAATTAGTACTTATTGAGATGTTAAAGGTCGTACAGCAAAGTGTAGAGAGTAGTCTTATCTCTAACAATATGCGTATTTATAATAAATCATAACATCGTAATTACCAAGAGCTCATAGGAAATGTAAATACCGGGAGTAAACAGGAATAATAAAATGTTTACTAAATATATGAGGGTGATACCATAATTCCTGTCATCCATGAAAAAGTTGGTCCCCAACTTTCACAGGTGAAGATTTACAATCATTGTTAAACATTCTAAGGTGGAATTTAGGGTTCATGGTTTACATTCATTTCCGTATCTGAAACATATCGATATTTTAGATAAAATATGGTAAATATAAGAAGTAAAACGATAACAATTGTATAAATTATCAACGAACCATAAGCATGATAACGTAGGTTCCCCAGTTTGTAGTGGATCATTTTTAAGTGTTGATTTTAATAAGATGTTATGTTGATTTCTTTTTCGTTACTACGGAAAGTGAAATTATGAATTCGAGAGGGTATTTTTACTTTTATTAGTCTTTGAGATGTAAATTTGGATTAGTGTCTAATTTCAATGATTCTGGTGTATTCATGCATAGTGAGATAAGAGCAAGATTTAATAGTATCAATGGGACATTGCGAGTTTATAATGGAAGTGCAAAGCTTGGTTTTATTGCTTATGGATATACGTTCTTTACAAAAGTATTCTAAATCAAATTTGATACTACTGTTAGTGGATAATTTAACAAGTTGTTGGTCGTAGACAATAGTCAGTAGGTTAAAAGAGACATATCCTTTGTTATCTAGTATAGGAACGTGTACAACAAATTAATATTCATTCATCTTTCAAAGAGATGATAGAGGTGTTACATAGATCTAAGCTTTCGCATAAATGTAAGGTATCAAAAGGTAGTAATTGTTCTGGTTTGTATAGAGTTTTCATGTGGTTAATTAATAATTGATTTTTTTGGTCGGAAAGTTGCAATGTTGTTAAACCAATGTTTTCACCCAAGTTAGTGGCCAATAATAATTTAGATAGGCAAGAGGAGGATTTCTGAATCATAGTGGTTAAATTGACTAGGAATTCAATGTTTGCAATGTTTCGAATGAACATTATAATTTGGACACCGGTATTTCCTTTTTTCGTTGTAACTCTGGACAGAAAGTTATTAAGTCATTATTGAGTAAATTTAAGGTGTTCTGATTTTCTCGAAGTGTCTGATCTTCAAGCATTGGATCTAGATCGTTTTCTTCTAAGTTTCAGGAAACACACTTGATTAATAATAATAATAGATAATAATAAATGACCTTTATTCGTCACATGATTACAAAACTAATTGGCTTAATAGGAATAGTGACGAAAAAGTTGAGTGTCAGCTTGCGCTGTTTTTCAGCCAGACCTAAAAAACATTGACACAAGCTATAAAAAAAGTAGCTACATTTAAATGGCACAATTCACAACATTGACCACCAAAAAGAGAAAAGCTTAAAATATTACACTTCTCAGAAAAAGGAAACAATCAGTTAC